ATTTATGGGGGGGGGGGGGGGGGTATGTATTTTGGGATCTCCCAAAATAAATAAAAAAAATTCAAGCCAAGGTTTGGCAGGCCCTTCCGGGTAAAAAAAAAAATTAGATCCCCCTGTTGTTTGGGCCCCTGAATAAGAGGGGTCCCATGGCTCAAAGGTGGGGTAAGTGGCAAGATACGGCAAAAACTGGGAAATTGATTGGTTTTTGCTGACAATTGATGAATAAAAAGAAAATCAACCCAAAAAAAATTCAACAATATAAATTTTGGTCAAATTCTCCCAAGAAAGAAGAAGATAAAGAAAGGTATTTTTCTGGGGTATATATATATATATATATATCCAATGCCTTTTTCTTGATGGTAACCATAGTGAATATAAAAATATACATATAAAAAGGCTAAAAAAAAAAAAAAAAAAAAAAAAAAAGTTCAGCCCCACAATTGCTGATGTGTCTTTAATTGTGGTGACTAACCGTAATAAAATAAAATAACCTTTATTACACAGCCAGTTGTGTCCATACATATTATTTTCCATTTTTTTTTTCTCTTATTTTAAATTATCTAATATGGCATAAAGTCTTTATAACATAAAGCTCTTTTTTTTTTTAAAGAAAAAAAATAAACTTATAATTAATTTAAGTATTTATATTTGTATCCATGGAAACGGTTTTCTTATTTTTAAAGAAGTGTATTAAAATAATAATAATAAAGTGCGGGGAGATAAAATAAAATAAAAAAAAAGAAAAAAAAAGTAGCGGGAATAGATCAACAAAAAAAAATGATGGCTATTACTTCTCAAAGCACGGGAAAAAAAGATGCTCTATACAATAAGAGTTATTATTATTTTTATTATTTTTTATACTTTAAGAATTTGCATTTATAAAGAACTAACTTTTTTTTTTTTGGGTCTTTCTTACTTTTACCTTTTTCATCTTTTGCTTTATTTTATTTTATTTTATTTTTACCCCTTTATACTTCTTCTACTTTTCCCCCTCCAACTCCCCTCTCTCTCTCTTTCTCTCTTCTACCTACTCCTACTACTCCTACTACTATTGCTTATATTACTACTTCTTTAGAAATCTAAAATATCTATATTTCATCATGAACGAAGTCTCTTGCCCAACTCATGAATCCTTTTCTACATATTACCCATATACTGAGTCCAACTCAAATCAAATTTCATCAAATTCCTTTTCTTCTTCTTCTTCTTCTTCTTCTTCCACTTCTTCATCAGCCCAAGCACCACGGATAATGAATTCCAAATTTCTCGGTCTTTCATCATCATCAACATCAGCATCATCAGCATTATCATCAACACCTTTAACAACCATAAAATCATCATCAGCATTATCATCTACATCAACAACAGCAGCAACAACTGACAGTTCTCAGAATCCTTCATTCTATGATCTACAGGAAGTCATCAACCAATACAGATCTCAACCCGAACTTCTCAAATTGATTCTGACCAGCAAGGTTGAAGAGGACAAGCGCAGAGCAGAGGAGGCCAAATTAAGGGCAAAGGAACTCGATCTCTATCTTCACCAAACTATACCCACCCCGAACAATCACAATTATCACAATCACAATCACAATCACAATCGTAGTAGTCGTCATCGTCTTTATTCTCGTCGATCTCATCATCAAGAAGAAGAAAATGATGAAGAAGAAAGATATGGTCATTATGCGGATCATGAAGAAGAAGATCGGGATATGCAGAGTTCACCTAGACAAAAGAGACGCCTTTCGTCCCTTGCAAGCGAACCTTCTTCCACATCCTCCTTTTCATCTCTGTCCCTATCATCATCCTCAGCGTCAAGCCTAAAGAACTATCGCCGTCGTTCTCGGTCACCCTTGACTCCCCAGACTCGAAATCTTCATCCTTATACTCACAACAATACTCCTCCTACTCCTCCTGCTACAATTGCTCATTCTGATTCTGTCGATCACCATCACCAAAAACGTCGCAACTCTGCAGCCGCAGCAATGCTTGCCATGGGTACCCTGACTCTTCACCCTCCTTCTCCTCCTAATAATAACGACTGTGCTTCATCCCCTTGTTTTCCGAGGTAAATATCGATATTTATGTACATGGTTACTTGTCTGTACATAAGCGTAGTAAAAAAAAAAGACAGGACAAGAAGACAAGATAAGCTAGCTACACGATCGGTCGGAATACCAAATAAATAAATGTATATATTAATAAGTTATATGTATATTATCTTAGTGCAACCTTGTCCTATCCTTCTCCTGTGACAGATCATTATGATATTCATGAATCAAAACATTGTTCTGACAATACAATGTCTGAAGAGGACAATGAATACAATGAAGAAGAACAATATGCCAATAAAGTCAATAGAAAACCCATTATAGAAGAAGAAAAAGAAGATGAAGATGATGATGAAGAAGAAGAAGAAGAAGAGACAGCAAGACTATTGACACTCTCGGGAAGACCTCGTAGAAGACGTGAGATGCAAGCCATTACCAAGATTGTTGAGACACGCGAATTCCCATATCTCGACAACTTCTTTTGGAAGAATAATGGCAATACTACGCAAAAGAAGACTGGCTGTAAAAGTATATATTACAAATGCTCTAATAGTAACAAGGTAAGCAAAATGAGATTTTCTTTTAGTGTTGTATTATAAAAATATATATATATATATATATATACAAATGGGAAACCAACGGGATTTGGCGGGCCAATGTGTGGGGATGTTCGGAAGGAAAATGAGGGTTTTGTCTTGCGGGTTTTTCCGACATGTATAATAAGACTGTCATATGAAATTCATGCCCTGTTTACGACAACCCTCTCTCTCTCTCTTTCTCATGAGAAAACCAAAAACAGCAAGATTGAAACTGAGTGAAAGACCAAATTATATTATTATTATTATTATTTTAAAAAAGAAAAAACTCCTATATCAAATCTTACTTTGTCATTATTTCTTTTGGGTTTTTTTTCCCCACACCTTATATATGATAATTACTTATATTTCCATCACATCACATCGATTGTTAAAATAAGAAAATTTTAAATCTAATTTTTTTTTTTCATTTTTCTTAGGGTTGTCCTGTCAACAAGACCGTCACTGCTCGACCTAATGGTGAATATTTGATAAAATACCGTGGAAGACATCTTTTGGAATGTGGTAGAGTCGAGCGTATTCGAGACCTCTAAAAAAGAAAAATTGAGCTTTTTTTTTATATTTTATATTTTATTTTATATTATTACTATTACTATTACTATTACTATTACTATTATTTTGAATTGAATACAAACGGAATTATTTGTGAAATGTAATCTAATATAATGTAATGTAAACGTAAATGTTAAGCGTAAAATGTAAAGCGTAAAGCGTAAAGCGTAAAAAGTAAAACATAAAACATAAAACACAAAATGTAATCAATAAAATATACATATAATACAAAAGACGCAAATATTATAAAAGATATATCTTTTATATCAATACTACCAGAAGCTAAAATAAAAATAAAGCTAAAGCTAAAGCTAAACCAGATAGATATAGATAGAGCCATTTACATTACATCTTTACATTACATCTTTACAATACAGTACAATGAGTTGTATATATAAATAAATAGAGAGAGAGAGAGAGAATGTGTACAGTAAAGATATTACTACAGTACACTGTGTGTATATATATATCTTTTTAGTGCTGTGATGAACCCAAGAAATCATGTAGCTAGGGTAAAAACGGGTGTGGCAAACCAAAAAAGAAAGTAAAAAAAAAAAAAAAGAAAAAGAAAAAAGAAGGGGACCTCGTTTGACCTGGTCCTTTAGAAGATTCGTATAAATAGCAGCCTCTTTTTGAATTGATTTGAAGCTTATTCCTCTTCTTCTTCTTCATTTTTCATTTTTCTTTACTTATTCATCAATACCTTTGTAACATTATTTCAATTCAATTATATAATTCAATTTAATATACCAAACTTTTTTTTTATATATATATATATTTTTTATTTTTACATATAATGGCATACAGACTCACTCGCTTCTCTGGTTCTACTCTCGAACCCTGCTCTGAACCAGTTGTTCTCTATCCCTCCGAGGTTAACCCAATGGCCAAGAGGGCTCCCATGATTCTCAATCGCTTTTCTGGCTCAACATTAGAGCCCTGCGCTGGTCCAATTGTGATGAATTCAAAGTTATCCTTACACAGCCAGTCACTGCTACAAGTACCACGATCAACCACAATAAAACCATCATCAACCAAATCAAAATCATCCCCACCAAACATCGAATTCTCATCAGAGGCTGCCCTATCTGTCCGAATCATCCCCACTAGACCCACAAAGCCATTAAGACGCAACGCCAAGCCCAGCTCGATCCACATTCCAAACCTTAGCCAGATTGCAAGCATGAACGCAGCAGACCGGCTATTGGACGAAGGACATGCCTCTGGCGGCGGGTGGTCTGATGATGAGGCCGGCGAACCATGGTTGATGTGGGACGAAAAGACGCAGACGATCTACCGCCCCGAGAAGCGTCATGCCTTTTGGGACACTCCCCCACCTCGTCGTCCATCTGCCTACTGTGCCTACTCTCCCACGCCTTCCTTTTCTTCAGCCAGTAGCACGAGCAGCACTGATTAAATATTTTTATTTATTTATTTTTTATTTATTTATAACCCCTCTTTGTACCATAGTCTCATATAAAGCTTTTATTTTTTATTTGTTTGTTTGTATGTTTGTTTGTATACCTCTTCCCTTTTCTCCCCCACACACACATACATACATACATACAAAAGATAATTTCTTACAAGCCCTACCTCATTCACACGCAAACACATAAACATTATCTCTCACTCACACATAAACAATTCCAAATATATATATATATATATATTTGTAGTCTTGCATCTCACAAGCAAGCAAGCAATTATTCTTTTTCAAAATAAACCAATAAAAATACATGTATATTATATATATATATACAACATTCACTTCACTACCCACTCAACTACATTTTTTAATTTTTTAATTTTTTTTTTTTTTTTTACTTTATTTGGTCATCTATTTCATGCAGACAGTGAATTCTTTTGTCTATCTCGTACGACTTGTTTACCAATTACATTTAAGCAAACCTCTACTAACTGCCATTTACACATTGAATCTTTTTTTTTTCTATTACTATTAGCAATATTCCCACAAGCATATTTATCTTATTTTATTTTTTATATGTGTGTGTGTATACTGACATATATATATTTTATATTATAAAAGAATTGTATATCTTTGTTTTTTTTTTTTTTTTACCCACATGGTATCACGCCATGACCCCCCAAAAGATACAAGAATAAATTATTTATTTATCTTTTTTTTTTTCTAATTTACGGACAGTCACAGATTTATAGTATCAATATACATAAATATGTACATACGTAGGTACGTTTGTAAGCACCTGTTTTATTTAAATAAAAATAAAAATTGATCAAAATAAATGTAGATATTTATTTTGGTCTGTACTTTGGGTAACCTAGTCTGTATTTTGATTGTACACCTTCCCCCCTTCCATTCCCTTCCGACCAATCCTTTTATTCTCTTCACACGTACAAAATTGGATATATGTATAAATTTGTACAAGGTGTTTAATTATTAGTCTTTCGTAAAAAAATAAAAAAAAAAAAAAGCTACATACATACATTGGAGAACTTCATAAATTTATTTATAATTTGGTTTTTAACCTTGTCTATTGTCTAGAGGAGTTTTGAACCTTTTTTTTTTATTATCATTTATTTATATATATGTGTGTGTGTGTGTACATCTTGGTTAATATAAAATATATTACAATATTTGTCCTTAATGAAAGATAGAGAAACTATCGCGAGCCTGGATACGATCATAATATGCCTTTAGTTTGGGCCTGTTTTCAAACACGAGTTCATTCTTGACTGCAACAAGACGGAATAGATAAGGTGTGAAATGCACATCGACAAGTGAATAAGATGGGCCTTCAAGATATTCGCCTTGGTTGCCAAGACCGGATTCAACCGTGTCAAGGAATTCAGCCCCGAGCTTCCATTGGTTCGCATTCATGGCAAACAGTGGACTGGGATCTGCGTGTCCGTTGTAAAAGCCAATCAATTGTTGTGTTTGTGCAATGTTGTGGTCATAGAGCTGGCCATGCTCGGGTGCCTGGGTCCTGTACTCTTGCCAGGCCTCCACACGGCCCTCAAGGAACGGCACGACAATCGATTTCTTGAACTCAAGCTCCTCCCTTGTCCCAGACGTAAAAAAGAGCGGGTTTCCGACATCGGCCTCACCATGCATCCTCTGGAGCAGCTTAGAACCTTGGTCGGTAGGTCTGGGCACCTCTGTCTTTGGGCCCGACAGTTTGTTGAGGTATTCGCTAACAGAGATCGAGTCGGTCAGCACGTCCGTTCGCACACCGTCCCGGAAGACCTCAAGTGTAGGAACAGTGGCGTGAGGGTTGATAGCCAGAAATTCGGGGGAATAGTTTTCGCCTTTGCTAAGATCGATTTCAATTTCCTGGATTCCCTCGAGTCCCCTTTCGGCAATCAGAAGACGGGGTACAGCAGCCCACAGCGAAAGCTTAAAGACATAGAGCTTATAAGTAATAGGCATGACGATAAATTATTATTATTATTATTATTATTATTATTATTTTTGGTTCCAAAAATAGAAATCCGAAGAAGAAAGGTGTTGTAATGAATACAGGCGAAAGAAGAAGGTAATGATAATAAAGAAGTAAAGGAAGAAGAGGAAGTATTGGCCTGTTTATATATCTATACTATTAGATAACAAAAATAAAATACAATAAAATAAAATACAAAGTAATCTCCTATGTAATCATTAGCAATATCAGCATAATCATCATCATCATTACAGCCCTTTTGCCCTATTTTCTCTCTTGATGATTAATTATGATTTTTTTTTGTGTGCGTGTCTCTAAACGTGCACTTATAGGCCAATGTGCTAAAGTAAGCCGGAATGTATTACCATATGTGGGAATATAGTCGTCAGCACTCTCAAGGCAAGTTTGGATTTCTAATATTTTTATAATCGATCCAGCCAATAAGAGCATCCACAGCCCAATTCTCTCTCTTTTCTTTTTATGCTGACAGGACACAACAAATCCTAATATGGAAATCTTCGCAAGTCTTTCTTACATAAATAAATAAATAAAAGAATCTATTAATATTATTTCTTATTAATTCTTAATAATAACAATTAACAATAAGAACATTATTAATCTCTTTATTATTGGCTGCTTGCAAGAAAATTAAGCAATGAACAGTCAGAGTATCAAATAGAACAGCAATAGAAAAACGTGGGCCTTTATCATCATAATCATCTCTTCTATATGTTTATTATCATTACAAGCGTTTCTTTTCAAAGTACGATGATTGACTCATCACCAAGATAGTGGCATCCAATACCCAGTCGCCTGCCTTTAGATAGCTGTCCACGTAACCATGGATTTCCTTGTTCTTTATTAATGACGTGGCCGGTCTACACAAACAATAAAACAATAGTATAATTACAAGGCAAGACAAGGCATGAAAAGATAAAAAAAAAAAAAAAAAGACAGACAGACAAAATAATTGAAAGCTGAGCTCAACTGTAAACTCAGAAAGAAAACGTTGTGTATGCGAATGAGCGTGTGTTTTTGTGTGTGTGTGCGCGCACATATACTATGTATATCTGTTCTTTTCTATTACTCGCTCTCTTTTCTTTCTTATTGCTTTCTTTCTTATTATTACTTACATAATATTTATCTTGATATTTATTCTTACTCTTATCATACAAGCACAGCAACACAGCAACACAGCAACACAGCAACACACTGACACTCTTTTTTTCTTTTTTTTTTCCCTTTATTTTATATATATGCAACATTCCACTCACTGAATTCCGGTCAAACGTTTTACACCTGCAAGCACAGTAGACACCAAGAGTGCATCAATGGTCCAATGGAAAAGTCGACCGAGCATCTTTAACAATTCGAGATGAGGATAAATGAACTGAACTGAACTGAACTGATTTTCTTTTTAAAAAAAAGGGGGAAGTAAAACACACAAAAAAAAGAAAAAAAAGTGAATGAATAAAAAGCGGGGTTTATGGGTTTACAGGAACGGTCTAAATAAGCATTTTATTATATTACACTTGAACATTTCTTCAAGTAAAATAGAGCTAATAAAATGAAGAAAGCAGAGTATTATATATAATGATAGTAGTAGTAGTAGTATTAATTACGGTGAAGGGGAATTATGGTAATAAAAATAATAGTAACAGTAATGTAATGATAATGGTATGATGGCGATTACGATTACGATGATTATGATGACGATGAGAAAGGCGATTGTGGTGATAATAATTTATAATGTCAACCTTGCGGCTTTTAGCTTTGAAATACGTTCCGCCCAGACTGCATACTTCTCGTAGAACCAGAGTCCCCACTCCAGTGTTTGGAATGACAGCCAACTACGGACCAGTTCTCCAAAGACCTTGAAATCAAATCCAACCATCGCTAGTTGCTCCCGCAGCCTTTGTTTGGTATCCAGCCAGACTGCCCTTGTACAGACCGTTCCCATCACAACATAGGTTGTCTTTTGATCGGACGCTGCTCTGTTGAGCTGTTCGTCCACGACTCTCAGCAGATCGTTGGTTTTCAGGAGCAGCAGCACCGAGCGTGGTAAGCGGCCCAGGATATCTGCCACATCCACAAAGAACTCTATCGCACCTTCAGACAGGCGCTTGAATTCGGCCTCCGAGCGACTGGATCCAAGATCAGCACTGTCGATGGCGTCCCAGTCGCGGCCTGTCAGCATCGATGCAAACAGTCGGTAGACATCTGTGCCACCAACACGCATCGAGTACTTTTTGATACCGTCTTCGTCACTAGTGATAATCGATTTCCAGAGCCGAGCGTAGTCTGTCCGTAGCTCATCGGTCAGTGTTCGGTACAAACCATGGTCCAGCAGCACAAGGTCAAAGTTGTATTTGGATCGTTTAGGGTTCTTGGCTGGTCGAACCATTACATTTCCAGGATCTGTTAATTTTTTTTTGGTAGGTAGGTAAATGAGATGATAGTAAGGTGAGAATCATCAAATAAAACACAATGGGGATCATAGAAAAAAAAATGAAAAAAAAAATGTCAGTTTAAACAGCAAAATAAAATCTTGACAAAAGACCACAAGAATGTTTGATACTTACGAGGATCACAGTGAACGTACCTATTTGTTTGGATTATAAATTGTATATATAAAAAAAACATATTGATAAAAGTAAAGCGATTAATATACGTGTTTATGTTCATAAATTCATAAATTGTATATTTTACCCATCGAGGAAAATCATTTTGGAAAACACTCGAGTCATCTCCAAGGATACCTCACGAGGATCAATATTATGGTGTTCCATGTATGCAAGATCATCAATTCTAGCTCCATCAATAACTAACCATAACAACAATTTAAATATACATATATATATATATATATATATGAACAATATTTAGACAAGGTTTTCTCTTCTATGTATATATATATAAATATGGAAAACATCGCTTGTCTGTACTTACACTCCATGCACATTATACGCCGTTTGGCCCACAGGATCTTTGGAATTGTGAGAGCCGTACGACGATTGATCCGGTCATCTGAGAAATTGGCCTCTACTTTGTGTGCATTGGCAGCCTCGTGCACAAAATCAAGTTCTTTTGGCAATGATTCGCGCATCTCTTCTGCAAACCACTCGAATCCAAACTCTGGAAAGACGGTCTTGACGATATCAAAGATAAACGACACCGTGTCCATGTCGATTCTGCAAAAGTTGTCGAGAGACGGATGCTGGATCTTGACTGCAACCCATTCGCCCAAACCTGAGGAGTTTGAACCCGAATCCCGCAGTTTGGCTCGGTGTACCTGAGCCAGCGAAGCCACGCCAAGAGGAACCCAATCAAATGTATCGAATATTTGGTCTACTGACTGACCACAATCAGCCAAAAACAGATTCTTGATGTCTTGTGGAGATGTAGGATCGCATTTGTCCTGCAACACTGCCATTGTCGAGGTCCACTCAGGCGGAAGGATGTAGACCATCGCAGACACATGCTGTCCTAGTTTCACATACACGCCCCCAAGTTTCTGCAATCCCCAGAGCACATGATCAGCACTGCGCTGATGACATGCCGACTTGGCAGCCTCTCTTTCCTCAGGTGATCCATATGAGCCAGCCAAGGTCTGTCGGTAGTCTAATGCTACACGGGCACCCACCAGACCAGCCGTGCCGCATCGTTCCAAAGCTTGGATCGCCTGACGGAATTGGTCATTTGTCTGGTAGAGAATGGTTCCTATTGTGCCAGTTGCCGTCACACCAACTACGCTGGCTATACCGACAGCTCGCAGAACTCGAGAAGAAAGCGATTGTTTTTTGGGTAATAATGTGTTGCTGTAGGTGTATTTTCTTTTGGTCGTGATAGTAGTCCAGCCAGCATTTAATCTGGTCTGTCTTTGAGACTGGTAACTCAGCCTTGCTGTAGATCTAAGCATACAAGATAGTAACGATAATGATAATGCGTGTCTGTGCCTGTTTCTATAGAGAGAATGAGGAGTAATATGGGTAAAATCTATTATATTCTTTTTTTTAATGATATAATAAAAATAAATACAGACAGCGAAGAAAAAAAAAAGAAAAAAAAAAAGAGCAAAAACACTATAATATATATTATTATTATTATTATTTACCTGACGCAACTCTGTGCTAAACTCAAGGGCGGAGGAAGGGCAATAAAATAATAATAAGGGGAGTGGAGGGGGCACTAGTGAGGATTGATTGGATAAGCTATTGTTCGGACTTGCCCATCAAAGCCTTTTTAGCGTTTTCATCAAAGACATACTTATCACACAAAAAGAAGTATAAAGATATCTTACAACAAGTACAAGTATTATTGGTATATAAAAAATATATATAAAAGAAAGAAAGAAAAAAGAAAAGAATCGTATATATCTATCTATCATTATCTTTAATCACAGCAGAACGTCGCACATAATTTGTTGATTGCTCAACAACCATACCTTGGCTTACCAAATCGGAGACCAAGGCTTACCGAATGATACTGACATGGCCAAAGATTATAGAAAGCGTGACGTAATGTGAGATTGCTTTTCTCCTGTCATTAGGCATAATAAATATATATGCAAAACTTGTAGACATGCTCTCGTCTTTTGGTGGACTTGAGCAATTGTCAGACTGTATAGACACAGCCTTTTGATATACTATTGATATCATATATCTCAAGGTAAAAGACAAGCACTATGGGAAATCTCGTGGTTGGCACATCATATATCAAACTGTATTACATATATTGTTATTGTTATTTATTTATGAAAAGAAAAAGTAAATAATCTGGCAGCTATTTCTCTGACCGGAGTGTATACTAGTAATAGTAATAATAAATAGAAAGATATATATATTGTTGTTGTTAGTGTTAGTGCACTATATGTAAATATAAGAATCTTACCAAGAAACTTTATGAGCTAAATCCAGTGAGAGTTAGCTACTTGTGGCCCTCTTCGAGTTCTTTGATCCTAGCTTGCAGAGCCTTAATTATTTTATCCTTGGCAGCTAAATCGTCCTTGAGATTCAGGACTTGCTCTTCAGATTTATCAGCCCTTCTATTGGCATCTACAGCCTCCTCGCGAAGTTCATACAGTTTCTTTAAGTGGATATATAATATAATATAATATAATATAATATAATATAAAAGTAAATGCATTAGTATTAGTTTCTTTTCATCTTATTTATTCTTTTAATAGGCATAGCAAATAGACAAACATAATATTACATCTCTCGCTTCGTTCATATTGGCCTTGGTTTTATTAAATTTAAAAAGAGGGAGGATGAAGAAGAAGAGATGACTAAGATACAACTGTTTATATATGTATATTGTATTGAGGAGGAGGAGGATGAGGATGAGGCGCAAGATAATAAACCGATAAATTTTATTATATGCATTGGTTTGCTCCAATGTAAATTACCGAGCGACTGGCTTTGTATGACTAAAAGAAAGAGAAAGAGGATTTTTGTTGGTGCTACAATAAATGACCAACAAAATAAGGAAATGATTTTTAAAGAAACTAAAAGTTAAATGGTCTACTATACAGAGCCCTAGTCTCACCACAAGTGTCTTGACCGTTCTTATACCTATAGATAAAAGGTTTTTTAATCCATAAACCAGAGCTTGTGCGTGTGTTTAGAAAAGTGTTTATTCTCACCAGAGACCAGCGTGGACACACCTGAGATAGGTCTATATTTCAAACAAGGCATCTTTGAGGGCAATCAACTAGACAATGTTCTCCGAAGTGTTCTCTTTCGAATAGCACATAGGGCTAACATTATCACCTATGAAGCTGTCTTTCTATTGGAATACAAGTGGTTGGGCAGACAAGCAGACAGGTAGGTAGATAAACCTCCCCCAAAGAGGATTACACCAAACCATACGAATGTCGTGAGGAATCCTAAGTTTCCAAAAACAAGTCCATTCCGGGTGAGAAAGGTTGGGTGGATGAGGGTGTGGCTGAATATGGTCACAAAAAAATTGATGAGGGGGTCTTGCACAAAGTTGTATTTTCGATGCTTATGCTTATGGCTCTTATGATATGATATGATATGAGATCAAGAAAGTCCAGAATAGATAGGTTGATCTCCAAGAACGTGAACGAGCCATGTCACATACTATATTGTCCCAGTGGCAATATTCCTGTTGCGACCTCTTATTTTGAAAATAAACTAACACTAATTTTATAAGAGTTCAACTAGTTGTGGTAGACAGAATGTATGTGTTTTTGTGATCAGCCAGTTTTCATTCCCATTTATAAATAAAAAGATATTTACTTAAAAGGGTGCAACCTTAAATTGCGATACCAACGCAAGAGACAAGTGAGCCGGTGGGTGCGGTGACTGGCAGCCGTCACTCTCCAAAGTACGGGAATAGTGAGAGAATGAGAATAAAGTCTAGGCGTGATGAGGGAGATGAAAGGGCAGTAGAGGCATCCAAAAGATTATATACTCTAGCAGCATTAGGAGCATTATAGGTTTTAAATACAGTGGCAACCATTATCAAAGAAAGCTCAACAGAAAAGTAACAAAGTATACCTTTTTACCTCTTTAAAAACACTTTTTTCACATTTTCAAAGCTGATTCTCATATCCATACGCCTAGACAATCAAATGTTATATAACATATCCTCTTGAAGTAGTTTATTGTCTCTTTTTACTATACCACAATTATGGATATAAACCCTTTCATAGCTGGTAACCCGGTATTAGACTCTATACAACTCAAATTTTCTTTCCTCACAATAGTAACGTAGTCAGTTAAATTACCTCTTACAAGTACCCTTCATGTAAAGAGTCGTGTCTACAATAAACAGGCGCTAATTACTATCACTAAAGAAAGAAATTTACGGTCAACGGATCTTTATCGGTTGACCCTAGCCAGGCAAACACCTAATAGGAGTAAACCCATGTCTATTTTTGCCTTTATAGAAAAAAGCGAGCATATTTTTATTTAAATACATACACACACACATATATATATATGTATATGATAATAATTACTAAGACTCTTCACACACTACTTGACGCTAGAATCAAGCATATCGCTCAGATTGAGGATTTTAATCATAAGATGATCAAATTTGTATTATGTATTGAACATCACTGTTCCATTATTTCAACTAAAGCAATTCTATCAAAGCTTGCCCTTTTCTTTGGCTAATATATAAGTTGGTTTGAACCAAGGGTACATTTACCTCTCATCAACTCACGGCTCTTAATCTTTTCTTTCTTTATTCCAATAGGAAATATATTTGTCGTTGTTGTAATTTCTTCCACAAAGAGCAATCAATACTTTCTTTAATATTAGTTTTTAAGCAGCCGTAGAAAACTGCAGCAAGGTACTGTATCTTGTAATGAAAAAGAAAGAAAAGGCTCTGTGGAAGAAAACTTACGGTCTGCATACTTAATTTGAATGAGCCCTGTTTACTTTCATATATATAATATACTCTTGATTTGTTCAGACTGTTTTTGATCTTTTTCTGTACCGACCTTTTATTTAAGATATGTATCAAGATTTAATTACTGCTTTATAGAAAAAGGGACCGTCTTCTCATCTACATCGTCCATAGTTTTATGGTTATTATAATCGTAAATATTTCCTTGTCCATTTTAACTCAAAATAAAAATCACCAAGCCAGACGCTTTTTTTTTGCTGTTGTTTTTAGTTTAGGGTTTTACATTGCTTGTCTCGAGCGTAATTTTTTTTTTCAGTGGTTCTTTTAATTAACTGCTGCTCTACGTGTTCAGTAAAGACTCGGAATGAAATGGTTCCGTTCATTTTCTCCCAATCCACAATGAATTCGAGATATGAAATTTGCTTCGTCGGTGCTTTCAGAATTGTCAATAGATATTTCTGATATGCCAAGAGATCACGTAAGTTTATAGGCTACCAAATATTCAATAAAAATACTTACAAGAGTAAAAGCATGAAAAAAAATGTAAAATGTACACATATTGTCCTTTAATTGTACAGACCATTATAGGCTTACATACATAACATGAGACTTTAATATACATAAATTTGATATTTAATTATGTATATTTGACATACATCAGATGTCAATTTTTTATTAATTTAACAGCATATTTTTTGCTATCAATGAATTGTGTACATTTTAGCAACTGCTTTTTGTGTTATCAGCCATCTCTTGAAAATCTCAAGTAATTTTTCTCTCGCATATTACTGTTCTCTAATACCAAATATAACACACCGTGGTATTTCAAGATAATATTACAGTCAAGCTTTATTGTTATATTGTTATTGTTATTATCATTATTATTACAAATCACTTTATATGTGCCAATTTAAATTGATTTGAAAACATCAATTCGCTACAGTTTGAGCATCGTTTGTGAAAAATTGAAATTGAAACATAAAAAATAAAGTCGGTTAGTGTGGCTAGATCAAAAAGGTTAACCAGAGATCAAACAAAGGCTTGAATCTTTGAGGCGCATTATTGGATCAGATGTGTATGTGTATATAAGAAAAAAAAGTTTTAAAAAAAAAGAAGTTCAAATAACTCTGAATGAATTGATATTCTTCCATTATCAATTGAATTGAGAATAACATTATGCTTGATGGAAGAGACATTATTACAAGTACTTCAATTTTTTTTTTAAAAAAAAATGGTGCGGATAGATAGAAATTAACCTTATTTGATAAGCTCATTATAGTCTTTGTTTCATCTTTGATCAACCTTTTCGATCTGTTCACATGAAGTGTTTAATCAAAGTTTAGCCTTAAAACAACTCTTAAAGTCTGGAAAAATCCTGCAAAAAACGCCTACTTAATTCGCCCCCTCTTTTTTATTTATTTATTATTTATTTTAAAGATCATTTGGATGTCAGTACCCGCATTGACTAATTTTTTTTTTCGCCTAAAAATGTAGGTTTTATTCGGATAATAATTTAGCAAAGAAACTTTTTTTCTTGTTCTTTTTATCGACAGAAGAATATACTCGACTGGGCTTTGTGGCTTCTAGAAAAAAGAAGTCTTATCGAAATTATAACCAGTTGTAACAATTTTCTGCCATTTATAAAATAAAAGAAAAAAAAAGTGTCCTTGGGGAGGGTGAGTTTGATAGTTGAGCGTGGGTTGTCAGCCTGTTTCTGGGATTTACCAAGTGCTTGGATACTAATCCGAGTAAAAAAAAAAAAGTAACTCAATAATTGGAGTATCACTTTGTAACTTCAGCTATCGCTATATAAAATAGATAGTGCTCATTGTGTGGTTTGAATAGAATAATTTGACCAAAAACAGGTTTTAGGAGAGACCAGTTGAAGTTAAAGATGTGTAAGGAAGAAATATGTCTTAAGAGATTTGCTAGCTGGCTGGCTGGCTTTCTTTTTGCATTATCTAATTCGTTGGGAGCCTGTTTCTTAGTAATTAGCCAATCAACTAGCGAGTCTATTTGATAAAGAAGAAAAGCTTCTAGGGTATCTTTTTTTTAAAAGGCAGAAAAGACTTACTGCCAACTCAGTTGGTGTAATTGTCAAACATAGCAGTGTACAATGTCAGGTTCTGTCAAACACAAAAAAGGCATTTTTGGGTGTGTATTCGGTGGAGTTGAACTGTAGTTTGAAAATTCGATATGATTGAAAAAATATGAAGAAAAGATACTTGCTATAGGAGCTGTGGCTTGTTGTAGACAAGGCTATATTTCAAGTCTAAGTGTAATTACTGTGTGTATATTAATGACGTGAGGGATAAGTTTTTTATATATATACATTGAACTCTTTTAAATTTGTTCGATTAGATCAATAGTCTAGAGTCTAGAGTCTACAGTATATTTCTGTATATATTTCTTTAGCGACTTCGAAATACTGCCCTCAAAAGAATACAGCCAAATAAAATAAAGAGGAAGAGGACTCTGAAACAAGGGTATATTTTGTACACTCAACTAGACTATTCTGCAGCCTTACTATTAAGAAAAATACACCCATAAGCATTTACGCTTCCACTTGCCCACTTATATTTACACTTACACTTACATACAGATATGTATTTGTATATAAATAACTCTTTTATAATAGGAAACCTTATCTTGGTTGCGTAGATATTCTTGATTTTTTATAGGCAAATCTTATCTTTCATCTGTTAAAGGTGCGTGATTGATTCTTCACTGTATAAGGTTGAACTGATCTCATTAAAGATCCTTGCTTCCAAACCATATTCTTTATCGCAATCTTTTCCCCACTTCCAATCTGTTTCAATTGCCGATATGATTCCTCACATTCGCTAGTTTAACAAAAAAAAAAAAGAAACATTGTTCTTTACAAAACAAGAACAAACGCAGAATGAGTCAGAATGAACAAAGTCACGCTCGGTTGAATGTTTCTCAGTCTGACTGACTTGACAGACTTGACTGACTTTTTTTTTTTTATTTCTCATATTAGCATAGCATTTATTTTAGTTTCTAATATATATATATATATATTAATAAATAATAAAATCATAAGATAGCAGTAAAATAGCTTCTTTTACCTATCAAATTTATTAAATACTCTACAATGCCTGTCATGGATTCTACCCCCTCCCAAACCTCGGTTTACTCAACCGGAAAGGCTGGCTATTCGACCATTGCCAAAAAGCCCCAGCATTTCCTCAGCACTGCCGATTTCACTGCCGAGCAGTTGTATGAACTTGTTCGCAGAGCCATCAACTTCAAAGTAGAAGCCAAATACGAGACCAGCAAGACACCAGAACGTCCTTTGACTGGAAAGACTCTTGCTTTGATTTTCTCCAAGCGTTCTACCAGAACCAGAGTAGCTACTGAGTCCTCAATGGCATATTTGGGTAACCATCTCTTTCTTTCTTTTTTATTATTATTTAAACTTTATTACTATTATACATGTAGCATTTGTGATATTAACATACATTTATCGTTTAATTTTTTCTAGGCGGCCATGCCATGTTCTTGGGCGGTCAGGACATCCAGCTTGGTGTAAACGAGTCTCTTCTCGACACCTCCCGTGTAGTCAGCTCTATGGTCGACGGTATCATGGCTCGTGTCAACGGCCACGAAGAAATCGAATTGCTTGCCCAGGAGTCAACTGTTCCAATTATCAATGCCTTGTCTGCAAAGTACCACCCCACCCAGATCTTGGCTGATTTGATGACCTTGCACGAGCATGTTCACCATCGCAAGTCTGGTGCCAAGGACCAGTACACCGCCCACCTCCAGCACCCCAGAGAGACCTTGCCCGGTCTCCGTGTCGCATGGGTTGGCGATGCCAACAACATTCTCCAGGAGATCTTGGTCGCATTCCCCAAGCTCGGCATTAGCGTTGCCTCTGCCTGCCCCAAGGGCTACACCTGTGACGAAGATGTTCTTGCTATTGCAAAGGCCGATGCCAAGAAGTCCGGAGCCGAGCTCCTCTTCACAACCGATCCTTTGGAGGCTGTCAAGAATGCTGATGTTATTATTACCGACACATGGATCAGCATGGGTCAGGAAGATGAGAAGGCTCAGAGATTGAGAGAGTTTGAGGGTTACCAGGTCACTATGGAAATGGCAAACAAGGCTGGAGCAAAGCCTGACTGGTCATTTATGCACTGCTTGCCCCGTAAGCAGGAAGAAGTAGACGATGAGGTCTTTTACTCCGAAAGATCTCTTGTCTTCCCAGAAGCCGAGAACAGAAAGTGGACCATCCTTTCGGTCATTGATACCTTTATGGTTAAGGGTGGTTTCTAAAGAAGCAAATTATTCCATGATAGATAATGTGGTGTATTAAACACCACACCTGTAATTTTTTTTGAAGTATTATGAAAACTCATACTGTAGATAGAATTTGATTCATTCAAAAACTCGTTAAATAAATAAATAAAATATATATCTAAAAGTATATACGTTTGACATTACAATTGTGGCTTTTCTTTTTCTTTTTTTTTATAAAAGGGGTTAGTCAATTAAGTAGGCGTTTTTTTTGCAGGATTCTTCAAGGTTTTAAGAGTTGTTTTTAAAGTTGCATTACGATTAAACACTACTTTTTTTTTTTTTTTTTTATGTTTCAATTTCACTTTTTCACATTTCTTTGCTATTGTAATTCAAAAGTGACAAAGGTACCTTTTTCAATATTCCATTTTTTTTTGGAAATGCAGAAAAGAAACACTCACTCGACTCTCTCTACTTTCACGCGTAGCACAGTAGTAACGATACGTTGAATTATCCAAAAGATGTATGTACTGACTAACTTTTCAAAACAATATCTTGGGTAGTTAACATGGCTATAACCAACCAGGTTGATGAGATATTTATATTCTTCTTCTAGAACTTGACAGTCTTTGTTTCATACGAAACTTTTCTGAAAAAAAAACTTTATTAGCCTCAAGGTGCTTTCAGCTTGAAGGGCACAAGTAAACTAATCAAGAATTCTACCATAATATAATAATTAGGTAAAGACATACCGGAAGTTCAAGGCAGCAGTAATGTCTCTATTTCATAAACGATGCTCAAACTATAGCGAATCCATACTTTCAAAAAAAAAAACCCCCCCTTTGAATTGGTACCTTTAGAATGAGTTATAATACTATCATTAATAACAGCAAATATGCTGCTAAAAATTTTTTTTTAAAAAAAAAACTTAAAGTTTGATGTATAGTGGACATACATAAAAGTATTATACGTGACTTTTTGGCTTGATAATCTTCTTTTAAATAAAAATTGTTGATCTTTAAAGAAGAAGAAAGCAATAAACCCCAAGAAGCCTTGTAGGGGTTATAAAATAATTGAAGATATATTTTATCAACCTTTCACAGCGTAGTGATTTTATTTTATTTTTAGGTAGGAAAAATACAGGGCTTATTGATCCAATCACCTCACAAGATAATAAGTTCTTTGGTGTTTTACAGCAAAAAAAATTAAAAGAAAAAAAATAATTGGAAAAAATTGAAATTAATAAGAATAATAATTAATAAATAAAAACAAACAACAGCAACAGTTTGCATAAGATTAAAATTTTTAGTAATGTCACCACCAGTACATCGTAAGAAGCCATTCAGCGGTAAAAAGAAGAAGCAACAGTTACAAGACAAGAACGCCCGTAAAGCAGAAAAAGGTACTGAGCACAACAGTAACATAGTTTTTCTTCTTCTCTAAAATAATAACAGAGTGCATTGGAATCTAGCCAAGCTTCATGACCCAAGTGATTATGAACTCTTCAAGACTAGGTCCAGTCAAACAGTAGTGACCTCATTTGCACCTGCAATGAAGAACGTGACACAAACCAACTCTGTAGGCCAGGCTGTCAGAGACACCAAACGGTAATAACAGATAAAAAAAAGAGAACAATATATAGTGTATTTGATGCTAATATGAATATTAATATGTATATATATTACGCGCAGTTTGGTGTCAATATTCGAACGCTTGTCGCCTCATGATGTTGAAGCAGCAAGACTAAATAGTATGAAACCTTTGAAACGACTGCCTCCTGTAAGAATAGTTTGATAGTAAAATCCAAAATGGTTTGATTTGTTGATTTAAACATTGTGTGTACATCTATCTGTGTATGTGTGATTTAGACAGCATTGGAAGTGAGTGCAGAAACATTCGCAGAAGCAATCGATTTCCCAAAGAGACCAGTTTGGGATTATTCAATGACTAAAGAAGAATTGGAAGTTCGAGAAGAAGAAAGTTTCAAGGCCTGGATGGCTGATATTGAAACAAGATATGGTCATCAAGAAGATGGGCGTGAACTTAGCTGGTATGAACATAACCTTGAAGTGTGGCGTCAATTGTAAGTGCTATTGTTATTGTTTCAAAGAAATGAAATACATATAAAAATAAAATACAAATTAGGCTGATCTAATCTTGGGACTCTTAGATGGCGTGTATTGGAGATCAGTGATATTGTGCTCGTAATTATGGATATTCGTCATCCATTGCTGCACTTTCCGTGCGCCCTGTACGAATACATCACAAAGGATCTTAAACGTAAGATGGTTGGGGTATTTAACAAGGTAAGTCTATGCTGATTGTAATACTAGTCCTTATTATCCTTGCTTTAATGATTGATTATAATCTACAATATTATTCTTTAGGTTGATTTGGTTTCAAAATTCACAGAATTTGCCTGGCGTAAATACTTTGAGGAGCAATTTCCTCAACTTCATCTGGCTACCTTTAGCTGTTATACAAGAGATGATACCTTTATTAATGATACAAGCACTTGTACGTATATAATTGCGTGGGACAAGTGTACCAAACAGAAAAAAAAATTCTACAACAACAACAGTATTTGGTTTGGTCCAAAGAACTATTTTGTCTAATCTGTTATATCTGTTGGGGGGTTCTGTCTATTTTTATCTTATATTCTCATAGATGCACTCAAGTCGCGTCTAAAAAGGCCAAGAACACGCGGGTATCAATCTCACGGTGTTCGTGATATATTGACAGCATGTCAAGACGTTTTGATTCAAAAGAATGGAGTGAATGTTGATTGGAAGACTTTGGTTGAACAATACGAAGAGGACGAGGACGAGGACGAGGACGAGGACGAAGATGAAAGTGAGGAAGAAGAGGAAGAGGAAGATGGTGTTTGCCATGAGAGAAAATCTCGCCGCAGTAATGATCAAGATTGTGATGAGGATGGCAATGAAAGTGATACCGGGAGCATGGATGGATTAGGTAAGAGTAACAAACAAAAAACGATATCATTAAATCAAGTAATAATAATTAAAATAACCATAACAAACATAATTGCTCTGCTTTTTTTCTTTGCTAAAGAGGACGAATTCAGTCAAATAATGGAGGTCACCGCACGAGAGATTACACCTCACAGGGATTATGTAACAATTGGTTTGGTGGGTAAGTATTATGTGTGTGTATGTTTATGGAGTAGATCAAAATTAGAAGAAGCGCACAGTTGATCGATTGCCTGTTTTGTAGGACATCCGAACGTTGGTAAAAGTAGTCTTATAAACAGTATTATGGGAAAGACGGTCGTGAGTGCCAGTCGTACTCCAGGCAGGTCTATATAGGATGGTCCGTGCTACAAAGTCTTCCAAACTAACGCAACCACTCATCAAAGGACACACCAAGCACTTCCAGACCATCCATTTGACTGGCAATGTCCGTCTGTGCGACTCTCCGGGCTTAGTATTTCCAACTCTCCTTCCACGTGCACTCCAGGTAAAATTAAGCAAAATATAGATACAAAAGAGGGTATTTATTTTTATTTGTTTTTTTTATATGTACATATTTAGGTTCTTTCTGGCATGTATCCGATTGCCCAGGTACAAGAACCATATAGTGTAGTGCAATATCTAGCCGAACGCATTCCATTAGAAAAAATCCTCTCGCTCAGTCCACCAAATCTTGACAAAAACCATGCCTGGTCTGCATGGTCTATTTGCGAAGGTAACCAATCCCTTGTGCTTCACATATACTCACTCCTTTATAGCATATGCTGAACAGCGCGGGTTCTACACTGCAAAGGCTGCCAGACCCGATGTCTACCGAGGTGAGGAAAAAATATATATAAAAAAAAGAAAAGAGAAAGGCTACACAATCCAAAACCAAAAAAAAAGGCTGAGTCCAATTATTTAATGACTCGATTTCGCAGCTGCCAATGCTCTTTTAAGATTTGCCAATGACGGACGCTTGCTTCTCTCTTTCAAGCCCGCCGGGTTCCTGACTAGCACCAAATACGAACGTCTTCAGGTAGAAGAAGCAGATCGGCAGGCCAGACAAGAGGAAGAGGAAGAGGAAGAGGAAGAAGAGTCAGATGATGGTGGGTACAACAGAGGAAACCGAATTCGTGTTGGAGGCGCCTTTGATTTATTGGCAGAAGAAGAGTAGAGAATAAAATAACACTGTATTTACAGTGTAACTACACCAATAAAAACTAAAAGTACAAGTTGACATCATTCACAACTGTGCTGCATTCATTCCTAAAAAGGAAACTGATCAAACACACCCCCCATCCATCTTCCCATTCTCTCTTTCTTTTCCTTTTATTGTTATTATTATTATTTTTGGCTACGTCTAAAATTCTTGTTTCATGGGTATCTTTACAGAAGATGTCCAAAAGACATCGGTTACTCACTATATTGGTAAATTACGGTAGAATTTCCTTATTAAGCAGTACATTAATGCCTTTTACCTTTTTTTTCTTCTATTGTTTGAATAAGAACGACTGTCCAACTATGATGAGATTGAATGGTACTCATTCCAACAGTTATCCGAATCAATCTTTATGCAAGAGACTGGTCCTCGAGAGGCCATTGAAGCAGTTCGCAAAAGACTTAAGCATGGAACCAACCAACAGAAACTAAGAGTTTTGGAGGCAAGCTACCAACAACAACAACAACAACTTAAAAAAATACTATAATATAATATATAAAAAAAAGAATGACAACATTATCATCACAATTGCCATTAGCATCAAGATCTGGTTTATTAATACACATCACTATAATGTTAGGTCTTGAAGTTGTTGATGGAGAACAGCAATCAAAAATTCCACCGTATGTTTTTAGTAGTATATCAAGTGTTTACGAACGTATTCAAAATAATAATTGTATATATATATTTTTTAATGCCATAGGTGAATTAATCTCAAACGAAAAGATGAAAGAACGATTTGAGCTGATCTTGAATGCACCAGTAAGTTATATAATAGGACATAACCAGTCTTGGGATCAATGAGCTCAAATACATGATTTATCTTAGGGAGAGGATATCACTGTCAAGAAGAGTCTTGTTGGAATTCTGGGAGGATGGGCAATCAAATATAAGGGTGAGCCTGGAATGAATGTCATCTCAGATCTTTACGAAATGGGTAGATCAAAACTGGGTTTGGTAAGGCTTATCGTAATTATTGGGTGGGCTTTATCTCGAAAATACTAAATCTGCTTATCTATGTATCAAGCCTCGACGAGGTCGTTCTGGAAGTATGCCCGTGAGACCCAGACAGTCCACACCTCCCAGACAGGAATCACCTCCACCCTTACCTGCTCTTATCCCAACCGAGACATTGGTACCTTTAGAGCCTTCGCCACCCGTTGTCAGCCGCCCATTACCTCCTCCTATTGCTACAAAGGAGGTCAAGCGCCGGTCCCTACCTTCTGTTAAACCTATCCGGACTACAGATAGTAGTGGTAGCCGAGCAAGTGGTAGTGGAACAACACCTACTGGCACACCCACACGTGTATTCAATTTTGCTGCTGCCAAACCACGCATCATCAATGAAGTTGCTCTCGCTAACCAGAACTCCAACAACCTTGTTAATGCCCTCAAACTGATCAACACCTCTGAAGATCGATGGGAAATCGATCTTCAGCACGATAGTCGTCTCCAAGATTACCGACAAAAGTGCGAAGAGTCAAAGAAAAAGATTGTGCGTTATGCTAGACTTGTAGAGGATGAGGAGTGGATCGGAACTTTGTTGGCTACAAACGAGGAGCTACTCAAAGCACTTCACATGTATGAACTGATGGCCGTAGGAGAAGTTCCTACAAACATGCCTTCGCCATCCGCAATGGTACTCCACAACAGTAGACCAACATCTCCTCGGTCTCCCCATACACGTCTCCCTCCACCACCACCACTACCTCAACAGCCTACTCACATTCCTGCCCAGATCGGCTACTATGAACCTACAGACACACTCCAGTCATTTTCTGCACTTCGTATTTCTCCTCAAAATACAAATAACAGCATCGATAATCGCTCGAGCACGGAGAGCATTGATCCCTTTGCTGATCCAGTGGCACCAGTGGATGATATTCCTTTAAGTGAAAGGGAACGAAGAGGGTAAGATCGTATTAAAAGAGTAAAAAGTAAGCTGTGCAAGAAGAATTATATTAACACAATGTCATTTATAGTGAATATATCCTCTAAAAAAAACCACCATAATATGATCCTGATTTCTTTCTTTCTTTGCACCTATATTGTCACTATATATTTTCCTCTCTCTGTCTCTGTCTCTGTCTCGTTCTTTTATGATAAATTTTCATTATTATTTTCCTCATTTGTTTTTATAAAAAAATATACGCCATATAGAATCAAATCCAATTAAAAAAACATATGTATACCACACACACATATATATATATAATAAAAACATTACATATACCTTACTTTCCTTGTAGAAGAAGAAACCATTCAGAAAGTGAACTGATTGGACGATTAAAGGCCCGCTTTTCGGTCGTTGCTGTGCTGTTTGAAGTTGGCCCTGCTCGGTGTGGGGGAAAGCAACAATAGGAAGATCCAATGGGCCATCCGAGATAACCTTCCTTTTTCCTTGTCATCCCGTCATGGTAAGACAGTTGCTGCCGATGGATGGATGGATGGATATATAGATGGATGGATGGATGGATTGATGAATAAAAAATAAACAAATAGATAGACTAACCTAATGAATGAATATATAGCCTTTCATTAAGCAGCAGAAGAACAAGGCCTACTTCAAGCGCTTCCAGGTCAAGTACCGCAGAAGAAGAGGTGTGTACCAAACAAATGTCGAATTGTGGATCGAAATTAAATAAATTGTATAGAGGGTAAGACCGACTACTATGCTCGTAAGAGACTCGTCGTTCAGGCCAAGAACAAGTACAACTCTCCCAAGTACAGACTCGTCGTCCGTTTCACCAACAAGGACATCATCTGCCAGATCGTCTACGCTAAGCTCCAGGGTGACTTCGTTCTCGCTGCCGCTTACTCCCATGAGCTTCCCCGTTACGGCATCAAGGGTGGTTTGACCAACTGGGCTGCTGCCTACGCCACTGGTCTCCTCCTTGCCCGTCGTACCTTGACCAAGCTCGGTTTGGCCGATAAGTACGAGGGTGTCACCGAGTCCGATGGTACCGTCTCCATGGTTGAGGCTATCGAGGACGGACCCCGTCCCTTCAAGGCCTTCCTCGATGTTGGTCTTGCCCGTACCTCTACTGGTGCCCGTGTCTTCGGTGCCATGAAGGGTGCTTCCGATGGTGGTATCTTTGTTCCCCACTCCGGCAACCGTTTCCCCGGTTTCGATATCGAGTCCAAGACCAACGACGACGAGTTGTTGCGCAACTACATCTATGGTGTTCACGTTGCTGAGTACATGGAGTACCTCGAGGAGGAAGATGAGGAGCGTTACAAGAAGCAGTTCTCTACCTTCTTGAAGCAGGGCATCACCTCTGACAAGGTTGAGGATATGTACACCGAGGCCCATGAGGCTATCCGTGCCGATCCCGTCTACAAGCTCACCAAGAAGAACATCCCCGCCAAGCCTTACCCTATCCCCCAGCGTCTCAACAAGAAGCAGCGCGATTCCAAGGTCCAGGCCAAGAAGGATGCCTTCGAGAAGAAGCGCTCCCAGGAGTAGATCTTTTGATTCTTTCAATAAAAACAAAACCAAGTGCTTTTTTGGATGCAAGACAACAACAACAAAAAATAATGTGTAGTGCGTTTGTGCGTTTGTGCGTTTGTGTGTGTAGAGATGTGTGTAGATGTATTGAATACATTAAATATAAATATGTATGTATTTTGGTTGATTATAAAAGGTGAGGGTCCGTGTCCCCTTTTCGATTCTATTTTAAAAAAAAAGCAATCTTAAATAGGAAATCTAACATGCTTAATTATTTTGAATTACCAAAAACCAATATTTTCCCTTTCACTACCTCCTCCCCCCTTTTTTTAACTCTCTCTCTCTCTCTCTCAGTCATTCAAATATATCATTCAATTATCTTCTTTTGGTTACCTACTGTTGTACATTATTTTCTGAAATTATTCACCCATTTTCTTTCGTCAAAAAGAAAAATAAGAAAAATAGCGCAGATTGAAATATAGTTTTGTGTTTTTAAAAAAAAAGAAGAAAATGCCTTGGTCGAACGCCGCTTTAAAATCCGAGGGTTTCTTTTACCTAAAATGAATGATACAAAGTTTAAATCATTAATGGGAGTTCCTTATACCCAAAGCATTGGATATAAATATTACTATTATAGTTATGGGTAATTTGATAGTAGTTTAAATTCAAATCATATCAAGTAATGCTGCAATAAACTCCCATCAGAGTCTCATTTACCTCTTTTTTTTTATATATATTTATTTATTTACTTCAAAGGCTTATTACTATTAGTCGTCTCATTCTTACACTTGTTACAGCCGTAAGATGATATAACACCAATTATATTTGGTTGATTTATTTTTTAGCTTTTGTCCTGGGTATAACCTCAACAGCACGAGTTCCCTTCCATGAAAAATTTATAAAAAGTTTCATATTTAGCTCTGAAAGTTGTTTCGTTTATAAGTGCTCGTTCGGTTGTGTAGTTCATGTTAAATTCGTATAACTCGAAATCACAGCTATATATATATGTATGTATGTATATATATTCTTTACAAGAAAATGGAGTCTGCGACCTATTTATCCCAACAGAGCCAAGATGACCCCTGTCAAGAGAATCTCAAGTTGCTTTTGGCGGCAAACCTGCAAAGAGCAGCAGTAGAGATTGATATATCAAAGAACTGACTAGTAAGACTCTCCGTGATTTCATGCAGAACCAAAATGGCTTTATCCTCGATCAGGTCTACTAAAATACTTCTCGTGATATTCACAAAGTATGAGTGACATATTTGTTAAATATTCAATATTCAGATTTTATCTCAATAAACCTCTTCTAGATATTACTTTTTTCTTTCTTTCTCTTTTTGTATATCTAAAATTATATTTAATACTTCAATGAATGATAGGTCTTCTTCATGTGACGTAAATATTCTCAAATATTTTCATAAATGAAATAGAATAATAGCTCTTTATTCTTAATACTGATCTTCCTGCATGTATTAAACCCTTTATTTTTGTACTTTCATTACAGATCAGAGGTCACTCTCTCAAGGAGTATCTTTTTATACCTCCCTTTTAATTTTTGAACATCTTTCCAGATGGTTTCATATTCACACCCTGATCAAAGACTGTGACGAATTTGAGTAAATATTCTGCATCATCAGCTTTCTATTTCTATTACAATAATATCATTTTTCTCCCTAATCTAGTAAAGCTCCTTTGTTGGCATTTATGTACAAAGCTTGCATTTTGGAAGTGATTCAATAATAATCTGGTTTTTAAATAAAATCATTTCGTCCTTTATTTTGAAAGATGAATGAATGATTTATTAAAGTATACTTTGTTTGCCCAATATACGCTTGAATATGTTGAAAGCCTACACAGCTGTTCATTACCACTCTTTATACTAAAAAAAACAGCATTTTTCAATGCTACCTTTTACAAATTAAGCCCCAAGACTCTCATACGTTTCTTTATGCAACCGTGACATCCACTTTAACGAAATCAAACAAAAAAATATTGCAGATTGTCATGTTCTATAGTTTAAAACAATGAAGAAACATGTACTTTGAACTCACTGAAAACGTTTAGAAACGCGTAATCCTGGGAATCATCTATGAAATGCTGATATTTACATTTCTGCAAATGCAATCAAATACCCAGCTTCAGCTACAAAGTATATATTTTTATCTAGTGTACACAGACATTTGATGACAGATTGGTACTTATCAAACATTTATATATCATTCATAATATTAGATACGTTATGACGACAAAAGAAAATACAAAATTGGTTCTTTAATTTAATATTCACGTCTAATTTTATTTTATTTATTTATTTATTTCTTTGATAGCAAAAACCTCACACAGGGAAAGTCAAACAGTTTAGGCTCCAAAAGTATATGGATCTTTTCTGAAAGAATCTCATTAATAAAAATATATTAGCTAGACGTGTACCTGATTCAAGGCACTAAATTTTTGTGGACAATATAGCAAAAATGAATGCAGTGTTTTTGTCATATTTCCTTAAATTTTAAGAGGTATTTGTTTTGTTTATGTATTAAACTATTTTCCACAACCTATATCCATTGATTTTTGCGCAGCCTTTCTTTATTGGTCATCAAAAACGGCTTACTAGTAATATTTACAAATAATTACAGCTTTACCGAAAATAAATAAATTGTCCCTTTGAGTCTAGAGACCTTGTCCTTTTGAAGAAATAGAAAGGTCGCAATAAGCTAAATCAAATTGGCCTAAATAATGGCGATAGTTTCTTTTACTTTTAAAATGAAGTTTTATTATGTCTAGCAAAATTGAGCTCATTTTCTTGAATAAAACTTGAGTAAATTCGAAGCAATCCAAAATAGGATTATCGGAACTTAACTAATTGCAACTCCATTTGAATGATTTTCATAAAGTTATTCAGAAATGACAAAGTCTTCATCCTCTCTATTATTTCAACTCTTTAATAGATAACACTCTGACAGTATCTACTTCCCCCAATATTGAGATACTAACCAAAAAAACAATTTTGAATACCCAAATGGGGTTGCTTCTGGGCTTTTTACATTCTTTTCTTAAGAATCGTTCTTTTTTTTCGCGATTCTTTATTCTCAACCCTCACTTTTTGCTTGTGGTTGCGTTTAAGCAAAATGCTATGCGATCAGTCTGATCATTTGCTTTTTGGTTAATCCTGAATACTTAAAAGCCCACAATTGTGATTAACACGTAGCGGTTGTGTACTACGGAGAAAGTATGGTATCCTGTCTTTGTTTTTGGGGGTTTTCTGCACTAGCATTATTCTTTGTAGGTTTGATACCCATCAACTGGAACGAAAAAGGCTCTTCTTGTCTAACATGCCTTAAAAATAACAGAACAGCACAATCGTTTACCACCCATCTCAAATGGCAAGGCCTAAATGCGTCCCTTGCGAAGAAGAGAAAACTCAACAAGTTAGATTCTAATGATGAGCACCGCGCGGACAAAAAAGAGGCAAATAAAGACACAAATCAGTATTCGGCTGACGAAGAAGTAGTAGATGATTAAATGACATGCGAAAATAATTTCACACACCTTTAATCAGCACGAATATTATTGGGGATACCGCCGACAAAAAGCTGCCTCATCTCACGTATCGCAATGTGATCTTGAAAACTACGGACTCTTTTCCTGCCGATAAAGCGACACAAGAGGATAAGATGATACTGGATAATTGTGTAGTGTATGTGTGTCTGGGATCCAACAGTTTGAGATATTGTTAAATTTCCAAATTCATTAACAAGAAGGAACCAGTTTTTAGTCGTGGAGTCTGTTTTTCACTCAATTGTAGTCTGTATACCACACTATCCATAAATCAAAACCGATGCATAGGAAGGTCGAAAGTCATGGCTATAGAGTGATGTACTCGCTTTCATATTCATCCGAATTAAACACAATTGAATGATTTCGAGCAATCTTAAAAGAAAAACTGAAGCACCACAAAATTTTGACTGAAGCAACAATGCCTGAAAGGATTGCTGAGGCATGTAATCCCATACCTGCTAAGATTTTATACAATTCTGCTTGTAATTTTAAACGACAAGCCATTAAGTGTCATAATAAAATTTCATTTTAATCCCAAAGTAAAAGAAATAAGCATCATTGTCTAGATCAACTTGACTTAGCTTCTTGCGATCTTTCTATGTCTTCAAAAGAACAAAATCTCTGGACTCAAAGGGACAATTTATTTATTTTTGGTAAAGTAACATTTATTTGCTGGCTACAGATACTTAATATTTTCAGTGACAAAATTTACCATTCTCACTGTATCTATATCAGCACAGAATCCAATGTCACAAAAGCTATAATTAACAATGGTGAGTAACATAGCATATTAGGTTTTCACAAGTAACGAATAGAAATGCTTCAACAAAAATAAAAGAAGAAGTTACTCTTACAGTCAAATGAGGGTTCTTTTTTCTTTTTAGTCTTAAGTTTTCCTTTTACAATAAATGTGAACTAAAGCAAAAATAATGCAATGCATAAAAGGCATCGTAAAATTTCTTTATAGAATATATAACCCGCCAATTACCTTTTGAATATATATATATATATATATGTGTGTGTGTGTGTGGTCAACAGTAACATTCATCTTAAATGGGACATGTATATATATTTTGACCCAAATGATTATCAAATCATTATGATCTATAATTATATAAGCTTTAGTTCCTTCATTTCGGGTATAAGAAATATTTGGAATTTCAAGCCAAGTTTGATCAAGATATTTTACACAAAATCTTAATTTAAAACTGCGCGACTCTTTCACAGTGAACGATTAGTATCTGGAAATAGCATTTTTTCTTTTTCTCTACTTTTCTACCCTCTGTCTGTCTATGGCCTCTATGCCCCCAAACTCCCCCAAACCCCCCAAGAAATAATAATAATATATATAAAAACCTCCTTCATAATGTCTCCCCCAAAAAAACCCCTCTTTGTAATGCGTATTTAAATAATATAAATACCTATATATATAAATATATATAGATATCGATATACGTTTATTAGGCGTGTGTCCGAATTTGTGTATGTGTGTGTGCGTGTGCGTCAAAATTGAACTGTGTAAGGCATGTGAATTTTACTTTTAGAAAATTTATATTTTTATCCAGTGACGTCGTGAAAATTCTAATAAGTATATAAGCATGTCTTCTAATTGATCCTTATCCTTTCCTTTTAATACCTTTACCTTCATTCACTATCTAAAGATGATGTCTCTTCTGCCACTCGACTTAACACACACCCAAATGAGACCATGTCAACTACCTCCTCCATCCCCATCTGTTTCAACCCACTCACTCATGTCATCAATGTCTTGGGTTGCAGACAAGTCATCTGCCGAACTTATTCCAATGTTAAAGAATGCCTATGGCGCTCTTAAGGACAAAGAAAAGGGTAAGATTCAATACAGTGACATGTGAAATAGATATTAGATAATAGACTCTACAAACACACACAAAACTCCCTAAACTAAATAAACACAATCTTATAAATTGTATATTTATCTAACTTTCTTACATTATCGTTTTTGTCCCTTTTTTGGTCTCCTTATGTAGATCTGATGCTTGCCGCCGAAATAGGAAAGTCTCTTCTGGAGAACAACCTCCGACTCAAATCTAGCTATGAGAACCTACTCAACCACACCCGCTCCATTCCTCCAACGACGCTACCTTTACCAACACCAAACCCCTCTCTCACCACAGACTATGAAAATCACGACGAAGATCGTCCTTTTATTCCCAGCCGAAGCACCCGCGAAGCAATGATCGAAGTGCTAGAAAAGAAAAATGTCGAATTATCACGCCGCCTTGACGCTGCCACTTCCGAACACGAACGCCATGGCCGAAACGAGTCCAAAAAACAACGTAGACTCGAAGCCGAAATAAAATTGTTAAGAAGCAATCTAGAAATCGCGTCTAACAAAATTCAAGAGCTAGAAGACATGAATGCCCGTCAACAACATCAGCAGCAACAGCGCCAACAACGCCAACAAGTGGTTAAAGAAGAACAAGAAGATTCAATGGAAGAAGTTGTTGAAGAAATGCTAATTAAACTCGACGTTCTCCAGGACGAGCACGAAGAAATCACCCAAGCAAAAGCACAGGTCGAAGCCAAGCTTACATCAACACTCAAAGACCTTCGCAAACTTAAAGAACAGTTTGAAACCTTCCAATTCACTCAAAAAGATTATTCTGTCTTGTGCGAGGCATACGATCGCCAATTCGATCATATTGAAGAACTTAACAAGAGCTTGGAGGATCACAAACAAGTACTCCAGAGTCTTAAGGAGCGTGGAATTAATCCCTCGGCCCACTCGACGCCAGCTCCTAGTGTTTATGGTAGATCTGAATATAGTCTGCGCCACACCCTGCTTGGGGAGTTGGAGAATGAATGGCTCAAGGGCAAGCAAGATCTATCTACTGGACCCTCGGACCACCCGGCCAGCATGACCCGATCGCTGCGGGACCTCACCCATTTTACTGAGCAATCTCTGGGCGCCTTTTACAGTGTTCCAGCCGAGTCTACACTGAGATCGATCCTATCGCGAGCTAGTGGAATTGACAAGCACTTGCTGGACGAGGCGCTGAGTCTGATACACGAACTTGAGCTTGATGATGACATGAGCACCGATGATCTCGTGGTGTACCACCCTCAATCTGTCAACAGTCTCTACCCAGACCTTGCACTCATGAGTTCTTTCCAGGTTGATACTTTTGGACAGGATTCCAAGACAATGATGGGTCGTTTTAGACGGTTGATTCGTACACTTTTTCACTCTGTCTGGCGCTGGTGTCGCTTTGCAACCGTCTTGACGACGGCTGTGTTGATTAGTGTTTGGAATGGACCGGACAAGATGATTACAGCCTACTAAAGAAATGATTTACTTCTTTACACTTTCTTTTTTCTTCTCACATCACTTTCCCTTCTTTCTTCATGCTTCTTTCTTTCTTTTTCTTCTTCATTACAATTTTCAAAAAAAACAACAACAACAACAACATTATATATATATATATAGAATCCTCATTCATCTTTTCTTTTTTCATTATCATTATCATCATTATCATCATCATCATCATCATTTTCTTGTGCAATTATCTCCATTATTTTACGTCCAGTTAGGCTCTTTGAGTACGAAACCAAGACATTGATATGCCCTTCTTTCAATCTTTCTTATGTTTCTTCTTTATCTTATCATCATCATTAGTATTATCTTTTTTTTTTATATATTTATTTTTATTATTACATTTACACTTACATTTACATTTACATTTACACTTATATTTATATCTATATTTATTTTTATTTTTATTTTTATTATTATTTGATTTCAGTTTTTTGGCCATATTTATCAAACATCTCTTTTCTACATATTCTCTTCATCGTCTTTATTGTTTTATTTTTATTAAAAAAATCATTACTTCTTGCCTATCTACAATTAATCACAGAATTTTGTTTTAACACTGGCATTGACCACGTCATTTGGAATCAACCAATACACAAAGAGAATAGTGATAGTAATAATAGTAGATGGACAGATAAAGACCAAGCAAATGAATCAAAAAGAGAAAGGACAAAAAAAAACAAATCCTCATGTCGATCTCTAATCAACAAAGATGCGAATTGTGACACAATTTATCTTGTATTTTGTTGTTGTATTTGTTGTTGTTATTTTTGATGCTGTTTTCTCTAGTATCATTATAATCAATAGTCAATGATTAATAAGGAAAATAGTAAATATTTAGGATTATATATGTGCGTATATATATACATAAAAGAAACAACAACAACAACAACAAATAATTATGCCATTTGTGATACCGTTTGTAAGGAGGGCTTAATCTCTACCATCAAATATATTCATTGCTTCTTGAGATTATGGTTATTTTACATATAACCTGGGATTTTCATGTGGTACATTGGATACTATTGTCATTAAACACATGTTACTTGCATATAAATATAAATCTATTTAGATGGCCAAATGGTATAGGGAAGAAATGCCGCCAATTACCAACAGGTTTGATCAACTAGATTTACCCTATAATTATCTATTGGGGGTCTGTGTGGGTGTTTTCGGACAGAGATTGGAAGCAAGATAGCCCGCAATAAGGAGCGTTTAAGTTTCTTTCTTTCTTTACAACATTCCTCATTCCCTATTGCTTTTTCCAGGAGTAACACAATTAATCAACATTTACAATATCACAAGTATCCCCAGCAATAGATAATCAGTAATTGTTATACCTTCCAAAAAGGCAGTATCTTTAATTTTTTTTTATTAGATATCAATAACTTCGCTTTGGCACCCACTACACCGTGGTGTCTCCATAAATTCAAAGAATGCCGGCCTCTCCAGGGGTGGCAATCGACCCAGGGCAGGACTCTTGAACTCCAATCTACTCTCCTCCTCACTCTCACTCTCGCTCTCGCTCTCCACTCGCTCGGAAACAACCCATTCGAACCCATTCTCACTAACAGGACTTAATCCATTTTGTAATAAACGGTCCTGGGCCGTATCCAGCGCCAATCTCCCACTATCTAGCTCCTGCTCATGATGACCCCGTAATTCCTCATGTTGTTTCCACAACTGATCCAGATGTGTCTCGTACTCGGACCGCAATCGATGAACAATCGACTCCAACTCAGCCTTCTCACGCTTCAAATCAGCCTTTTCTTTTTCTAGTCGTGCCTCAGCATCCAATTGACGTTGGCGCACTGTTGAAAGCTCGCCACGAAGCGTACCAAACGCATCCAACTGTCGTTCCAGCTGAGATTTCAATGCATCATTTTCAGCTTTCTGGCTAATGGCTGTGTGTTCCAGCTCCATCGCCTCTGCAGCAAGTCTTTGGTTCTGATTCTCAAGAACAGCTAATGCTTGCTTATCATCATCAGCATCACCTTCCTCGCTCAGGCCAATCTCTCTCGTCTTTCCTCCCGAGCCAAAGGAACCTTTACCGGCTGCAGATCGGAGTCCTTCGATCTCTTTGTCTTTCTGTAAAAGCGCTTTGTGCACCTCATCTAATTGAACCTTGTGTTTGCTTTCAAGATCCGTCACTTGAGATTCAAGCGCGTTTGTCTTTGCCTGAAGCTCCTTGACTTTATCCGAGCGTACATGAAGCTGTCGATTGGCATCCTTAAGCTCCATCTCAGCCCGACGGTTGTCGTAAGATGAAGTTAGGCTACCCTCATTTTTCAATGTCTTTAATTCGGCTTCTAATGCTTCCTTCTCTTGGTGGCACATTTGCCAACGTGATTCCCAGGAATTTGCTTTCTCCGAAAGTTCCTCCAACTGAATCGTCAGGGCTTCCATCTCCACCTTTGCTTCTGAACAAGCATTGCTGTCCTGAGCAGCCATTCGCTGAAGATGAACTAAATTGGCCTCTGCAGATTCATGTTGAGCAGTCTCGCGTGTCATTGCATCCTTTAATTCATCAACCTCTGTTTGGAGCTCTTGATTTTGTTGCTTCAAAGTAGCAAGTTCAACTTCGTTGTTCTTAGCACGTTCAATATGTGTTTCATATTCCGCTAATTCTTTCTTGTGCTCTTTGTCCAATTTTTCTTGCAGATCTATCAGCTCGTCGTCTTTTCGGTTCAGGGACTCGCGCATTTGTCCGAGATTCATTAGTGCCTCCTCTTTTTCACGTGTCAGTGCCTCTGTCTGACTGACATGTGCCTTTAGGTCCTTATCGGCCTCATTATACTTTGTTTCCCAATTCAAAGCACTATTCTTGCATTCATCCAACCGGATTTGGTATGCCTCAATTTTACTGGTTAGATCGCCTAATTTCTGTTGAAGTGCCTTGTCTAACGTTTGTTGTGCTTCTGCTGCTGCCTGACGCTCACGTTTGATCGTCTTCTTGTTTGCCTCGAGTTTGGTCTTGAGCTTATCGGACGCACTCTGTTGCTGCTCTAAAGCAGATGTCAGGGTCGCTACTCGGTCTTCCAGGGTTTTGTGCTTAGTTTCTTGCTCCTGCTCAAGAATCTGAGCTCGTGTCACGGCCTCGGCCTGAATTCCCTTGACTTCCTCCAGTTCTTTTTCACGCTCAATCTTTTCTTCTCTCAACGATGCAAGCGCTGCCTCATCTGAAGCAAGCTTATCAGTCATCTCCTGAAGCTGTCGTGCCATAGCTTCAGTTTCATTCTTCCATGCCGCATTGTTTGTCTCTAGCTCGGCCGTCAATCGAGCATGGTCTGACTTGGCATCCGATAGATCGTTTATCCATTTAGTCTTGTGGAGCTCCCACCCCCCAGAAATCTCTTCGTGGTCAATTATCGCTCGCTCCAAATCAGCTGCCAATCTACCACACTCTTCGTTCGATGTCTCCAAGCTCTGAGACAACTCACGGACCTGGACTGCGTGATGAGAAAGTTCTGTGTTGTGTGTCTGAACAAGGGCGTTGTGGTCAGCCTTGAGTTTCTCAAGCTCTTTTGAGAGCTTAACAGCCTTTGCCTTGGACAGAGTAGCCTCCTTATTTAATTTCTTGGTTTCCAGCTTTACACCAGCTTCACTCTTTTGCAATACATTGTGGGTGTTCTCTAGCTCCGATGTCAGCCGAGCCGTTTCCGCATTGGCTTCTTTGAGTGATTGAGAGACCGACGAAAACTTGTCTTCGTATTCCTCGACCTTTTTGGTTAGTTCGTGTTCCTTGACTAAAATGGAATCGTGTTCCTTGGCCAGAGCATCCAAATCATCCTTTGTACGCTTCAATTCGGCCACGGTTACAGTGTACCGATCGTCATATTCTGTATTTTCTTTACTCAATGCTGCATAGTTTTCTTCAACTTTACTAATATTCTGCTTGAGCGTATCCCGTTCCTCTCTCAACTGCTCCACCTCTAAAGCTTTGGCATCAAGTGCAGATACGAGCTCTGTAGACTTCTTGTTCTGGTCTTCAATCTCCTTGTTCTTTGTATCAAGATCTTTCAACATTTTTTGGTGATTCTTTTTTTGCTCGCCTAGCTCCTTCTCGAGAATAGCTTCCTTTCCTAAAAGTCTGCTATGCTCTTTCTTCAATTTTTCTAAAGCAGTTGTCGTTGTATTAAGTTCGTTGGTTTTTGTTGCTTGATTCGCTTCCAAATCCTGTACATTATTCTTAAGTACATTAATTTTACTCGTCATGTCAGCCTCAAGCTTCTTTTGTTGCCTTTCTTTTTCATTCCGTTCCTTTTCAAGCTCTTTTGCTTTGTTTTCCAAATTAACGCGTTCCTTGGTTAATTCTTCCGTCTTGGTCTTTGCGTTATCAATCTCAGATACAAGAGTGATTTGTTTGGCTTCCATATCACTGATTGTCTTCTTGTATTCTTCGCATTTCTTATTAAGCTTCTTCTCTAACTTGGACCCATTAGATTTGAGTTCATCCCGCTCTTTCGTTAATTCCTCGAGAGTTAATTTAGTGTTGTCCATGTCTACCACCAATGTGGTATATTTGCCCTCCATATCACTGATCTTCTTCTTGTACTCTTCACATTCTTCTCTCAGATTTTTCTCAACGTCAGATCCCTTGGCCTTGAGCTCCTCGTGCTCTTTAGCCAATTCCTTTAGACTAGTCCGGACCGTTTCAATCTCACTCTCAAGTGCTGTGCATCTAGCATTCTGGCTTTCTGCGTCCTGCCTCAAGGTCTTGTTCTTGGACTTCAAATCATTTGTATTTTTCTTGTACTCTTCCTGCTTTGATTTCAACGCCTTTTCAAGCTCTGAATTTTTTGACTCTAGATCATTGTGCTGTTTTTTGAGAGAATCGATTGTTGCGTTTGCGTCAGTGAGCTGAGTAGTTGTAGAATTCAATGCATTTTTAAGTTTCTCGGTCTCTTCTGTAATGGATCTAAGGCTTTTCTCTCCTTCGGCGTGTTTTGTTTCCAAGTCACTCACGGCTA